TATGCTATAATGTCTAGTCCAGTCGTGGGAAGGTAAGTGTACTGCTTTGTTTTCCATATTGGCAAAACGAACCATGAAAAGCATCACGTTCATAAAGTGCTAAGTAACGTATAGGTAAAATTAGCGAGCGATAGCATTTTACATCAGTTTACATGAATAATAATACTAGGCTGCTGCTTTTGCTAGAAGATCATTTAATGTAGTGAGAAGTCTGACCCTTTTCACCTGAAATAACCTTTATTATTATTTAACTTTATTTTATTTTTATTTTTTGAAAAATTCTCGCTTTTCATTTAATTATCCAAAATGTTTCATTGTGAACTTTGTAGTCATAACCGTGAAACAAAATTTGCATTTGTGAGACATATGAAAATTCATAAGAATGTCCGAAACTTGACCTTCAAATGTGCTTTACCTGACTACAACCGCATATTCCAAAAAATAAGTGTTTTCAAAACACACGTGTACAGAGATCACCCATCTAAAGGCCACAGAGCATCAGATCATCTTGGCTTTTCAGGTCCAATGACAGAGACGAACAAGCGATGGATGGTGAGCATCGAAAAATCGGTGCTGTCTGAAGGAACGTCCTTTGTGCTTGGACTTGCTGGAGTCTTCTCCTCCTACTACAATTTCAACCTTCAGTACCAGCATGATGCAGCATGCACACTGGAGTTCATTCAGAGGTAGGAGCGTTCCATACATATTGCTTAACACCAATTGATTTGATAGACTTTTCTTCACACATCACCTTGTACCTAGTACAGTGTTTCCCAGCTCTGGTTCTTGCGACCCAAGGCTCAGCACAGATTCAGGTTTTACCAGCCACTGCACAACTGAAGCAAATTATCTGATTAACATTGTAGGATCAGGATGTGCTGGGACAGGAAACGTTGATCTTGCGAAAACCACTGGTGCCTCTCACACAAGAACAGCAACTACAAAAATGACTGCTGCTTCTACTAATGTTATGGTTTATACTGTTATCTTTCCATCACATATTGTTTTTAACTTGATAATTGGTGTGAATTGATACATACCTACTTTGTGAATTGTATGATTGTCAGTCATGATGCCTGATGCGTCACATTCATAGATTGATGTCACATAAAAGATCGTTTTGTTCAACACTGTATTCAGAACCTGCATGGACATTAATCCTGAGATGGGCACTAAAGCAAACCATGAGAAGGTGCAGAGCAACAATTATTTACACTCAATCACTTACAGCGATAAAACTGGTATCCTATTAAGTTGTTGTAAGTTTTGCATTGATCTAAACAGTAAAAAAGAGTTGCATACATTTTCGTTTACTTTATACGGTAATATACTCCTGTTGTTTTGGAGCAGGTTACTTAGAAAGTTTTATGTTGCTTTTTCACAAGATACAAATCATCAGAGTGAGTTTACAGATATTGTAAGCAAAGTCATTTAATTGGAAAATATTCGATCTTTTGAAAGAACAAAGAAAGAAACAAAGTGTTGCACTGGTGATGTTTTTATTTTAATAAATATTTGCAAAGGAACCGCATCATGAATATTGTCACTGTTTCATTTTATTATTGTCGTTATGGCACTAGTATACAGTAACATTCTTTAATTATTAGTAAACACGATACGTTTTGTAGTTAAATACAGTTAGCTATAAATATGCAGCAATTTACTGAAAACATTGACCAGTATTTAGTTGTAAATTTACAATACAGTAAGCAACTATATTTATTTCTAGTAATACAACGTTATTTGAAAATACAGTAAACAGTTGTAAAAAAAATACATTACATTGCAGGTGAATCTGCTGCCAGTTAATTACTATATATTTACAGTGCAAAGTTTTACAGTGTATAGTCACACAATACTTCCTATCTACAATCAATTTATACTGACATACACTATATTGCCATGCGTATTGGGACACCCCTCCAAATCATTGAATTCAAGTGTTCCAATCACTTCCATAGCCACAGGTGTATTAAATCAATCACCTAGGCATGCAGACCACTTCTAAAAACATTTACGAAAGAATAGGTCGCTCTCAGGAGCTCAGCGAATTCAAGAGTGGTGTCATGATGGGATGCCACCTGTACAATAAGT